TCGTTACCGGTTGTTACACCGCCCTTCTCGAACCTCGTTCGAAATATTTGACGATATTAAATGCCGTGCATAGTTCGATCGCGACTATTATTTTCGCGAATAGGGAAATGAGAATTGAAACGTGCGGTCCGCCATTTCTTTTTGGAGGGTGGTTGAATTCGGATAGGGAGAAACGACGACCCTCCTGCCTCGAAGCCAATCGACCGCGAATCACCCCCTCGTTCGAACGGTCTCGTAGGGCTGACGAGACCTCATTGGTCGCCATTTCCGGCCAACGGTGGAGGAACCGTTGTGCAGCGGCCGATTAATTCCACCGTTTAAACCGTATTTCCGAAAATTATGGATAAATTTAGGGAGGAGAGGCAAGCGATCGCGATCCATAAAGTAAACGGTTCGTTTGATGAACCGTTTAACGATAAACGATAAACGTTGAGAAAGTTTTCGAATAATTTCAAGACATTTTTTCCCATTAAGAATCAATTATTGATTAACTATTAGAAGTTAGTTGTTGTTGTTATTAACTATTATTCTATATTTTTTTTCCTTTTTTTCTAACAGATAAACTGTTAAAAAAAAATAAAAAATACGTATCGATTGAAATGTAAAAAACGTGAAATCGATTTGGCGTAATAATATTTTCCATATTTTAAAAAGGTAATTAGCGCAATGATTTATACGAGTAAATAACGAGTAAATGAGTTTTGTAATTTTTAATCTTAAAAATATATAGAAAGATAATTATATAGTATTTCTTTCCTAATTTTTTTATAAAATTTATCGATCGTCGTGGACTATTTATTCCATTTAAATTAACTATATAAAGGAGTTGTTAACGATCGAACGATAATAGGTCGCAAATTTGTTGGTGAAAACCGAATTATGTTTCAAATTTTAGTTGAAAAAAAAAATTACTACACGTCGCATATTTTTATCCAAGCGTAAACCGTTTCAGGGTTTACGTTATATTACGAACTGTTTACCAAAGCTCATTGATCGACAAGGACAAGCGATAGAGGCGATCGCTAAAGCGCGCGAGGGCAACACCGTCTCGATGACGACCCCGCGTTCGTAATTTGTTAATCGGCGCGCTATCTTGTTAATTACCCGATAACGAAGCGATACGGTATGCCCGTAGAATGAGATTCCGTTATCGCTTGAGCTCGTTTCGGTTTATCGCCAACGGTTAAATGGTAATTTGCTATTTATTTTGCGAGAGAGGAAAGTCGAGTAACGCGAGTTATCGCGGTCGCCGGCTATTTTGCATATCGACCAGCCTAGGAACTCGCCTCGGCTAGGAGTCGCGTCGAACGCGTTTCCGCGCCACGTTTCGAAATCTCGAGCGATGAATTTCCACGAAAAGAGAGATTCGATCTCTCGTCACGCGCGATGTCCCCTTAACAAATCAAACGAATTTTTGATTTTCTTGTTTACATCTCGAATTGTTTTCTAGAATTATTACACGAAACATTGACGAGTTCTTTATTGTTGTTTGCATATCTGGTATAAATAAATTGCTCATTTTCTTTTTTGTTCAAAATTATTAACAATTACGTTGATTATCTTTCTTACTTAACTTTATCAAACTATATCATTAAAAAAATGATTATTTCTATATCCGATAATTAAAATATAATAAGTTTTTAAATTGTCACTAGTGCAGCAAATGAGCAATATGCCTGCACCCATTATGCAAATTATAGGTCTTCAGGGTTGGTATATTTAAAACGTTAAATATGTTTAGACGTTAGATTCATATCGGTAGAATTCGTAATTGTGATATATATATATATAT